CTCTGATTGGCCAGCTATCCAGTGCGTTGTGATTGGCCGAATACCTCAAGCATGAGACGGAAATGTTATGCCCCTTACCATATTGTGTCCGGTCCGGTCGGAGCAACGAGACATGAACATTAAAACCCATTACAAACGAGGCATTTGTTGCATCCAGTGGGGACATAATTACTGATTATAATGACTTATACTGTCTTTTTACACGTTGCGTTGCATTGCATCGCGCCACGTAAACATAAAACTGTCTGCATTTGTGATCGGAGAAATGACAAACAACAAGTGCTACTCTACTGCCCAAAGCTCGCGTTTGAATCATCAGTGGCGACAAAAAACACAGTGGCCTAGCGTGAGGGGAAGCCCTGGCTTAGCGTGCGCTGAGGCCGGGATAGAGTGAGCTGAGGCGGGCTGGACTCCGCTTTGTCCACGGTGAAAGTTGATGTATTCCCTCAGCGACCAGCACGGATCAGCTCTAGGCATGACGAAGCGCATATCGTCCTTTTTTGGAAGGCCAACCAAAGTAGTTTCACTTTCACAACGAAACACACAGCGTCTTCACGACATGGCGGCGGCGGCAGCAACAATACTACAGCGAGAATAAAAGTCACGCCTTCTTTCTTTGCATGAACATTTGGGCGGGGTTATGCAAATCTTCCCACATTGTGACGTAGATATGTGGGGGCGTGTTAGAACGAGCCGTTTTAGGTAGGCATGGCTGACTCTTAACTTTTATAAAGAATATCTCTTTGGATTTGAGACTTTAGTCTTTGCAACTTTACAGATCTTCTTTATGCACCAAGAGCTTGTAACACTCCAAAGAGAAAGGAAAAATTGAAATCGCATCATATGACCCCTTTAATTCATCAAATTCTTCTTTGCCAATCCATTGTGCCAAAGTTTAAAAGCAGCTATTACACACACACACACACACACACACACACACACACACAGAGAGACAAGAAAAAAATAAAAAAGAAATCAAAAAAACGAAAACCACACGCCTTGCAATATTAGGCAAAGCAATTGCAAAGCTGACTCAAACAGAATTGATTTTTCTCTAGTTTTGGCCCACAATGTCCATAACAATCAGTAAATCATCACACCACACTCCAAAAACAATCCACTTCTCTTTTCACAAACCCAACCCGTGACACTTAATGTTAATACAGCAACAGGGAAAATAGCAAAAACACTGTTACACTTTAAAGATGCCCAAAGACAAATTCAGATGCGAAACATTACAAATGTGGTCAAATTGTGCCAAGGAACACAAATGCACTGCAATCATTTTGAATATAAAGCAGATACACAACTGCAACCCAAAAAATTAATTACGGCCTCCCAAACAATTCTTGAAATGCAGATCTCACAGTCTACAAGTGAAACTGTAATGCAAACGTTCACACAGTTTAAAGGTTAAAGTAAACTACAGCAACACAATGAAATGCATGATCAGATTTATGGGTCTCTTGGTGATATTGCATGACTTTATTTAGCAACTACTACTCAAGATTTTAACATCTGTGCACGGTTATCTGTTAATAGCAAATACATCTTTACAGATAAAAGAGCAGTGGAATGCGGAGCCATTTATTATCTACAGCTTTGACATAATAATAGGCTAGTTTGTTTAAAATATGAATAGCCTATAAAATCCTGCATTGTTAGCAAACATGTGAAAGTCCAATCTGCAACAGAATAAGAACGGCAACGTGCTTCTATTTTAGCCTATATCAAACACTCGCGTTTCAATATTTAGGCTACTCCAGCTGTGAGAGCGCTGTAGAGAAAACATGGACAGCTATGAGGATTTCTGCGCACGCATTCTGTATGAACTGCAGTCGGAAATGATGCGCGAGAAGAGCTGCAGTACCGCACCTGATCGAGGGGTGGCGCACTCGCTCATCTGCTTTCATGGCAGGCCGCTTTTGTCTCCTGTTGTGAGTACAACACATGATAAGTGATATTTTACAAAACAACAAGGGGGTCAGAAATGTAGTCTGCAATGCTGTAGACTCTCAGAAAAAAGGTACATACAATTTACTTTTGAATTACTAATATGTACCATTTAGGAGGAAGTAATGTACAAAGATGTACCTTTTGGCTTTTGTACCTCAGGGTTCTGCCCCGGTGACAACTCTGTACCTTTTTTCTGAGAGTGTAGTTTTATGAATTATGTGTCATATAGTTGAATGTTACACAGTGTGACCACCAACATTTTTCATGTAAGGCCTCAGTCAGAATTGTTGACAATTGATTTTCTTTGTGATGATAAACTTTAAACTCTTTTAAACTAAAAAATATAGCAATGAAACATTATTAATAATAATAATATTTAAGTTCGACTTGCGTCTTCAAAATCAGCAGAACATTGTCTGTTATTTTCAGTTGTCTAATTATTATTATTATTTTTTTTTGGTATTGTGTTTTTCCAGCTAAGTGAGAAACAAAGAAGGGAGATGGTTGAATACAGGAAAAGAGCAAAACAAGTGGAGGCCGAGAAACAGGTTCATTACAACAAAAAACTCCTCAATCAGATTCAGACCATTCTTTGGACTGATAAGGTAAGACGATTAGTGTTTCTTCAATTATGGGCACTTTTATGTCCTAGGGACTTATTTCTTTTTTCAAGTGTTTTGTAACTTTTACCCCTATATGCATATTTTAATGTTTATCCTTTTATCCTTTTATGGTTTTATTGTTTTTAATCCAGATATTAAACATAACATTCCATTATATGCACAGTATATTCACAGTACTGTTTACTGTATTCGATCAAATGCAGATTTGGTGAGAATATATGGACTTAAAAAATATTTCAAACTTTGTACCACATGTGACCCTGGACCAGTCATGAGGGTCAATTTTTCAAAATTGAGATTAGCCTTTAAAGTTGTCCAAATGAAGTTCTTAGCAATGCACATTACTAATCAAAAATTAAGTTTTGATATATTTACAGTAGGAAATTTACAAAATATCTTTATGGAACATGATTGTGTCATAAAATGATTTTTTGGCATAAAAGAAAAATCAATAATTTTGACCCATACAATGTATTTTTGGCTATTGCTACAAATATACCCCAGCGACTTAAGACTGGTTTTGTGCTCCAGGGTCATATATATATAGCTTATTTACTATCATTTGTTGCATATTTACTTTCATATCTTGTTGCACTTGCATTATAGGCACCAAAAATATTGGACGTGCCAAAGCTTTCAGAGCAGTGCCTGTCCCCGTCAACAAAAACAGACTACAGGAATGGTTTTACAGTACTTGATACTGCAAATCTTACACCTACTGGGGCCACAGAGCCGTACATTTTCTCTAGCAAGCAACCAGTGAGCCCTTCAGCTGAGCTGCCTGCTGTGATGAGAGAAACGTCTGCAGAAGAAAAACAAATGCAAGAGGAAACTGAAACAGAAGGAGTTTGTCTGCGGAACCTACTGAAGAAATCACGTGAATTCATCCAAAAAGAGCAAGGTAAACAGGGGTCGAAGGTCATCAGCAACAAAATGGTTGATCCAAGCAGGATACTCTCTGAAAGCCCATCGGATAAAGAACATGGCAGTTCTTTGGATGGGACTGCATCTGGTTTACCCTTTTATATTTCCTCACCAAACCAAACCTCTCCCGGTAACCTGACAAGCCCAGAACCTGGTGCCAGTTTAAATGCCAGACCCCACCGCGGACGTCCTCGTCCCATTTCTACTGGCAGCATCTTCTTTTCTTTCCCTGAAAACCCCAACCAACTGAACATTACAGCGCACGCAATGCCACAGGAAGTCAAAACAATTGCGACGCAGGAAAGGATGCTACTCGGAGTGGAAAATGTGAGTATGGGTGGATATGATGATTACTCCGGGTTGAACGAGACCGTGGGACGATTAGAAACTTCTCCAGTGGATCCTGAGCTCACAAGCCCTCTGTTTCGAAGGAGATGCCACACGCTGGATAGCCATCTGTCCTCACGTCATCAGAGTCCAGTCATAGACCGGAGCCAGGAGAGAATGCCTCAGTTTATGGCCGGGGTCACTGCGAGAACGCCCACTCGACTGTCTCCTCCTTCACCGATGAACAAGACTTTCACACGGGACAGTCCCGTAGCAGCATTTATGGGGTCCGGAATCACCCCGGACTCTCCTTCTTGTGCCAAACTACCTTTTGAGACCGAAAGAAACAGTGTTATTTTCACAGCTCTGAAAGAAAGGAGAACAGGTAAGAACAAAGCAAATTAATACGCTACTGAAGAACCAAGAACCAAAATGAGTTTCCTAAAATAACTTTTCATTCTAGCTTTTTAGGAAATAGTCATCATCATAATGCCAAGAACCCCAAAATATGATGATCCCCTTGCAAAGGACCGTCTTCTTAAAATATATAATTTTTTTAGAAACTTAAATAATTTGGCATTTATGAGGTCATTTTAATAAATGAAAACAAATGATTAAAATATATATAAAATATTTTCATACACACTACCATTTAAAAGTCTGGGGTTGGTAAGGTTTTAAAAGAGTTTTTTTTTTTTACGTATTTTGGAAAGAAGTCTCTTATGCTCACCAAGGCTGCATTTATTTGATCAAAAATACAAATATAAAAACATTAATATTGTGAAATATTAAAATAACAGTTTTCTAGTTGAATGTATTTTAAAATGTAATTTATTCCTGTGATTTTCAGCATCATTACTCCAGTCTTCAGTGTCACATGACCCTTCAGACATCATTCTAATATGCTGATCTGCTGCTCAAGAAATATTTCTTAGTGTTGAAAACAGTCATTGCTTAATATTTGGTGGAAACGTGATACATTTTTAAAGGTTTTAATAAATAAGTTCAAACGAACAACACTTATTTGAAATAGAAATCTTTTGTAACATTATAAATATCTCTACTGTCACATTTGATTCATTTAATGTCTCCTCTCTGACGTATTAATATCTTTCAAAAAATACTGAATTGTGATATGATCAATACTTCTTTTTTTGTAGAGTGCTTCTATAATAATAATAATGATAAAACTAGCTTTCTCTGTTTTCCCTTTTCTAAAGAACTCAGAAACCAAAACACTAATATAAATAACCAATAATGTCACATCAAGAACTTATTGAACCATGAAAGGAAGAACCATATAGCAACTCAAGAACCCAATATGGCTACAAATGATTCTTGATTAAAAGAGTTAATCAATGGTACCTCAAAAAACACTTATGAATGTTAATTTGAGTATAAAGATCAGATTTTCAGCATTCTTTGATAAAGTATCCTTTCAATTGTGTATGTCTTTTCCTAAGATGAGATGCAATGGCAAGTCCACGCTCTAGAAGACATGCAGAGGTCTCTGGAGGACGATTATGCTTTCCGGATGTCATGTCTGATGGCAGAGCAAGAGAGAGAGCAACTGCACCTCAGTCAGGTCAGCACTGGCTCTGTTCCAAACCTTTGTGACCTGCCACATGTTTACTATCTACGTAGGCAGCTACCTTTCAAGACCGCATCATAACCCGGTCACTCACATCTGCTATGCATCAACTGGAATAACACACACACAAATATTGGTGGTGAAATATGAATAAATATACTCATAATCAACATTTCTCTGGACGAAAGTTTGACTTGGGTTTGGGCCAGACTGTGCCCTGGGCTTTGATATGCATCATTAAGTCTATTGCATATTCTGACATTAGTTTGTTCCTCACTCAGGAGTCGGAGGAGTGGGTCAGGAGACTGAGGGGTCAGGGTGGTCTGAGTCCTGTAGCAGGCGAGGACGGGTGTGAATTAAGGGCTGGTGAACGTTACCCTATACTGAGCCCCATGTGCTCTTTAAGCCCAGGAGACAGATCACCAAGACACCCTGTGCCAACCATTGGTATTATTTCATTATTTCAGCCCATGATTAATGTCTTAAATTTGCTACCACTATGTTTAAATGGACGTTTAGTTGATTTATGGATGTAAATATGTTGGTATATATTAAAAGCATGCTTTTAAGGAATAGTTCAGCCAAAAATGAAGATTCTGTCATAATTTT